CCTCTGCCCGCCCAGGCGGCCGCGTGCCCGGAGGCGGGGATAAAGCGCACCTTCCCCCCGCCCGGGACCCGGGGAAAGACCCGAAGGGCCCGCGCCTCGGCTTTCCTTTCCGAGCAGGACCGAGCCAGTCGGGGGAAGGAAGCCCCGTCCTGCCTAGACTCCTTCGGTTTACTCTCGGCTGAGAAACACCGGCTTAGCAACTCGGTTCCTGCTCTGGTTTATGAACGAAATAGGTGGAATTACATGCATGTTCACAAAGGCGCTTGCTCTGGCTGCTTCTGCTGAGCCGAATAAGCGTGCATGACAGCGAACATGTGGCTCTCCTGGGCCGGGAAAGGGTCACGTGTGGGCTGCGGGGTCCTGCCAGTTTGCTAACAAGCTGGCTGACTTGAACGGAGGGGGAAGGAGAGTCTGTCTTGCTGCCCGCCGACCTCCTGGGCTTCGCTGCGCCGCTGAGTCCGGCGGCCACGTGGGGTTTACGAGTGGCGGTGCCTTCTTGTTTACAGCCTCCAACTGTGGCATTGGTGCAAATCGGGGTGTGTGTGTACGGCTGGCGCTGTCTCCTGCATGTTTTTTAAATTATTCTTCTGTTCTCGGCCCTCAAAATGGAGCTGTGAGACACCACCATTTCTAAAAAGCAAACCTAAAGACTGAAAGGGAGGGCTTTCCATCTCGAGATAGGAAGAACTTAAGACCTACCTTCTTGCTGGAAGAAGTGAAGCTAACCCTCTCCTGTGGGTTCCATCTGGGTGACTGAGAAGGCCAAGACTTCTGATGTCACTGAACTGTTTTTTGTTGTTTTTTAAACAAGGCACTGAGATAATTCCCCCTCCAACAAGGGGCTCATACAAGCTCCAACTCAGCGCCCCCCATCACAGCCCTGCATATTTGGGGAAGCCTGCAGCTGCTCATTGTATTCTTATACCGGGAGAACTGTAGAAGACAGTTTTCCTTTAATGCTGTTTCAGCCACATTAGTGTTCTACGCTAAAGTAGTTCCAGTTGCATGGGGAATAGGTTTTTATGTTACTCAGTTGTATGGCAAGATTATTTACCTAGTCTACCCTGTTCAGCTGACAGCAAGTGACTACTAGTGATGGGATGTCTTGGTTACAGCAGGAGGGATTTTGAGGGAGAAGCAACAGAAAGGGGAAAAAAAATGATAGAGTGAAGGAGTAATTGATCACAGAAATATTGTGGATGTAGTGGATTTTGATTTCAGCAAAGCATTTCACAAAGTCTCCCATGTGGTTCTAGTAGAGAAGATAGCAAAATATGAGCTGTACTGTACTACCATTAGATAGCTTCAAAGCTGGTTGAACTACCATGCCCAGTGTGTGCATATCAGTCTGTCAGGTGTCAGGGGGTGTATTGCAAGGCCCTCTTCTTGACCCTGTCCTATTCAGCATATTTATAAATGATTTAGATGAGGGATTAAAGTACAATTACTGAATGTACAGCTGGCACAAAGACAGGAAGGATAGCAAACAGTATTAAGTTTCATAAATACATTGGCAAGCTGTTATAATGGGTAGAAACCAGCAAAATCTCAGAATGGAAAGTCCTACACTGGGTAGGAAATGTCAAAGGCATGGGTAGAGAATGTGCTGTGGGGAGAGATCCATACTTGGCAGCCATACATGCAAAAAAAATTAGTTGTCTTGGTGGATTACAAGATGAATATCAGTTAGCATGATGTAGTTGAAAAATGGGAAATGCAATCCTATATTGACAAGATATAGTGTCAAGATCAAGAGATACTCTTTTTTCTGTGGTGGTCAGACCACACCTAAAATACTACATCCCATTCTGGGCATCACATTTTAGAAAGACAAGGACAAACTGGAGCCTGACCAGGAGAGAACAGCCAAGATGATAGGGCCTGGAGGGAAAAACATGCAAGGAATGCTTGGAGGTGTTTGGTATGTTTAGCCTAGAGAAAAGAAGACTGTGGGGAGGTATGATAGGTGCCTTCAATTGGAAGGGCTGTTCAGAATTGTTCCAGAAGGTGGGATAAGAAACAATAGGTAAAAATTAAAAGGAAGTTGATTTTGGTTGGACATCAGGTCTAACATCACTAATGGTAAGAATTGTTCAGCAATGGGATAGACTGTCTCAAAAGATGGTGGACTATTCTTTTCTGGAGGTATTGGGGATGCTGTAGTAGTAGATTCCTACATTGAATATGGACTTGGACTAAATGATTTGCAAAGTTCTTTCCAACCTTACATTTTGTGATGGTAATATTCTATGATATTCCATGAACTTCAATGAATACTCTAAAGCACCTTTAAAATGATTGGGGATTTTCAGGTTTTACACTTAGTTTGTAATAAAACCCCTTTGGGAATGACTAGTCTTACCCAATTTGAACATGGAAAGTGCAGAGTGATTTAGGAAAGAGCATTTAATTTCTGAAGCACTATTATTGAAGTTTTTTTAGCCCAAATGCAAATGCTCTTTGATGCACATACTTCATTAAGTGCAGGATATTATCTGCAGTGTTTATAATGTGATCTAATCAGCACAGTACAGTAATACATAGTTTTCCCATTGTGGGAGAAGTAAGTGAAGTGTTGGGAAGTCACATGTTTTTTATCATTTACAGTTGTAGCCTACTGTGTGTTGTAAACCACCTATAACACTGCAGGTGTGGGAGAAAAGGAAGACCCTGATGCTATTTCAGATTGCCTTTAAAGAAACATGCACGTGCACACATAGACAGATGGACACACCCACCCACAGAAAACTGCATTTGCAGCCTTATACCTGTGTAGAAATGCATATTGCTTTATGTGGGCAGTTAGGCCTCCAAAATCCAAGGTGTTCTTTTTTAAAGGATTATCCATCCTCTGTATTAAAAGAAAAAATATCTACCCCAGAGGAAGAGTTTAAACTTGTTAGAGATGCATTGAGAAGTTAGGGGAGTACATGACCCAGTAGATCTGATTCCCTCTTTCAGCATGCCCTCTTCTGGCTCTCCTGGGTTGCCTGTCTTGACACTGGAAAGAACCATGCTCAGAGGTCAGTGGAATGGGAGGAGGGGGAGGTGATGGCTCTGACTTACGGTACTGGATTTCCCCTCCAAGGGCTAATTCCTCTCTTTGACCACAAGAGGGAATTCAGTGCATTTTAAGACCCCCGAAAAGCCCCCACAAATAATCTAGATTACATTTTAAACTAGATCTGAACCATTGAAGATCATGAAAAAAAATTGATATAGTTTTTACTTTTAAAGACATCTAAAGTTTGGAAAGAAAAATATTAGGCTGGGCAGAATCTGCGTAAACTCCCAGGTTAAAAAAAAAAAGAGATGCTGGCAGAGAAGTAGTTTGTGAAGGAAACTGTTCAGATAAACATTTTAAGTAAACATAAATTATATATATGTGTGTGGGTTTGCAGTTACTGTTAAATATAGCTTGCAAAAAAAGTTTTACCAGGTTGATATATTGAAGGGAATGGGTTTAGTTCAAATTCTAAGTGAATTAAGCAGACTAAATGAACACATATAAAATAGCGCTTATCAAGCCATTATGGATTTATATCTTTAAGTTGGTAATCTACAAGTTGGTAACTTTTCTTCTTAAAACCTAATGAAATATATAAAATATATATTAAATTATCCAAGATAATTTAGACACAATAAAAATAATTAGCTTATTGAAAGAAGTGAAAAAGAAAGTGAGAGAGTGATAATCAAGGTAACTTGACAGCAGTGGGTAAACAGAAGATTTGCTCTGCTTTGCTTCATTTAAGAGACAATAGCCCCTTGTATTCAGAGAAAAATGTTCATAGTAATCTAATGTTAAGGTTGAAGAGGCTAGTGAATGTACTAGAATAATATTAAAGTTACATGCAGTGAACAGTATATGTGAGTGTATATACATGTATGTATGTATGTATGTAACAGTATTCACTCTATACAAGATATCAGATTGCATGAAATACAGGATTATCCAGCCAGTTTCATAAACAATTAATGCAATATAGCAGAAATGTGTTGGAAGTCTACTGGCATTCTTGAAAAAGGAGAATGTCTTGAATATTAATGCAGAGTTTACAGGTTATTAGTCTGTTTTATTCCTTGAAAATCCTTTTCTGTCATCTGTAAATTCACCATGCATGCAGATTAAAAATGGACAGTATGTTACATTCTTAAATAATTTGAAGTTAGGATATCTGACTTCAGAAGAGAAAATATTTGATTACCAATTGATTTTCAGTATGTGTTTTGACTATATGCAGAGAAAGTATTTTTGTCTTAATAAAAGAATCTTCCCAGTGTGTTTAATGGTCCAGTAGCAAAACATAAGTGAAATAGCAAGACTAGTAGTAATATTCCATAAAATATGTTTGAAAAGTTAAAAAGGAAGTTAATACAAATTGAAATAGCAAGTGAAGATAAATGCTTTGTTATGATTAGTTTATTAATTGAAAAAGGATAGGTTAATGGTGCCTAGTCACATTAACCCTCTTCAGGCATTTAAAATTGAACAAAAACTACTTGTAAGTGCAACTGGTGAGTGCCCACATGCACCTGGCCCATCAGCCTAGGAAGTCTGGAAGGGGATATAGGCTTTAGAATTTGCCTGCCTGCCTGCCTTCTTTCCATTTACTACTATGTATATATAATCTATTTAGTACAACTTCTATGTCACACCAATCTAAAATGGGCAGCTTACCTTCATCAATAAGAAAATACAAAATTAATCAATACAACAAGCTCAGCACCCACGGAACAGAAGCATTGTACAAATATTTGTAACAGGAGGGTTCCCTTCGTAACAAATCTGTTCCCCAGGATCTTTAGAATAGCCAGGTTTAATGGCATCTCTAAAAACCAATGGGGGCGGGGGGGGAAGGTGAGGAGTGATTGAGAAGATTCATTCCCATGGCCCCTGAAGATGACAGTTTTTAAGAGAAGAAACCTGGAAGGATTTTATTGGGGGGAGAGGGAAGGATATACACAAAGAAGACTACACTTAGAGTAGGATATAATAATTTAAAAATGTATTTTCTCAAACAGTTCAGATGGACTGAAGTAAGTTTGTAATCCAGCTGTAATACCCCTAGATGTCTTCTATGGAAAAACTAAATTACATTTAAAAATAACAGTAACACATTTTTTAAAAAAACTTCAAAAATACTTATATTCTCATGTGAGATTGCATCTCAGTGGTGAGATTGCCAGTATTGTATGGGGTTTTGGTTATATATTTATATATTTATTTTTTGATCCTGACTGGTCTAGTCTACCCTTAGTTACACATCTTGTTTCCACAAGTTGTTGCTTTGGGATTCAGACATTTGCAAGTTCATGTAAGGTTTTACAGACTAATGAATAGGATTTTGTTTTAGTTTTATTCAGGACTGAGTGTATATTATTTGTTTTTATGAATTCTATAAAAAAGTGAAACTTGAAAAACACATGTGAGGCTGAAAAAAGATGCTGTTGCTCAGGCAATCCTTAAAGCAGCAATACCTTTTCAGGATCACAAGAGTGAAAAAAAGATCTCATAAATGACCAAGAAGAGCTGCGCTTGTTTAAGGTCTATAGCACTTCCTCTGAATCATTTTTGAAGCTTGCACAGCCCTAATGTTGTCTGTGTATTTGCTACCAGAGAAACAATACCTTTAAAGAATCATCTCTTTAAGCTCCAGAAATGGATCCCACTGAAAATGCCAATTCAGCTCTGACATCTCATATTGAAAGAACCAGAGAACTGTTACTGATTAATATAATAGCAAGTATAATTTCAGATATTTGGACTGCAAATGTTTCAGCTTTAAAAAATATAGGGAAAAATGCATTTTTATAGTACATTTTTTAAAAAATATTTAAGATGTATCCTTAACACATTTGATTTGATATTTTATCTAGTATTGATATAAAAAAAAGGGATCAAAATTTAACACCAGTTGAATTATATCAAAGATTCACAGTAATTATTGTAAGGTGATATAAATTTGATATAATTCAACTTACATATTAAATGCTGACTTCTTTTATATTAGCATTAGAGAAAATATTATATGCTTATGCTAGTCATTGATCAAAATAAAGACTGAAGTCACCTTAATTATTGGTATTAATTATTTTTGCATACCTATTTGATAAAGTAATAAATATATCCTGAAAACTTTCCACATGCTGAAGAAAGTATTGTAAATTTTGGGATGGAGCACAGCTAGGCTTGATATTTTAAAATATCCCCCAAAATTTGTGGGGCTTATTTGCTGTATTTCATATGTGGTTCTTGTCTGTTATTTACTTAGATGAGCAGTACTGGACCTAGCCCAATGTCAGCTGTTCCATCTAGCAGTGGAAGAGGGACTGGGAGATCAACAAACTTTACTCTAGAATTACAAAGTATGATGTGAGTATAATTCTGTTTCTACATCTCACAATATTTATGGCTAGACATCAGAGTCAATAAAGGATAGGTTTGACCAATATGTATTAATGGTCTGATGTTGCAAGGGGTAAGATGTGTTCCAACATTGAATAAAGTAGTAAGAACTCCCCTTGACTTTGAATGATAAATAAGGCAATAAATATAAAATGTTATGTATGTCTTATTATAGCTTTACAATGTTCTACTTTTGTTTATGCTAAATAATAAAATAATTGTGTTTATAATAAAGTTAGCATATGTAGACCATTTGGAACTTAGTATTCCTCCTCCTGACAATAAGAATAATAAATATTAGGAATGATGATTTACAGTGAACTAATCCAATCCTCCTTTGTAATGAAACCACAAAATTGTTTTTGGTTTTGTTTTATTGTTTATTTATTGGCCCACAATATGTAGGTTTCATAAAGCCATAGATTACATATTTCATTCCATATTTATAGTGTGATTTGTTATCATCTGCAGTGGACCAGACTATAAATCTTGATTTAGTAGAAGGTGTCCTACTAATTAGAAAGACCAGCTGGTGCATGCCATTTTCTCTTTTATGTACATCCAGAATGAATTGGTATAAAGAAAGTGAGATTGTTATTTATGGATCGTTATTTCTGATTTATCAACCAATTTAAAGAATATTTTGGTTTTAAGAGAACGGTGATATCTTTCTGTAAGACCTCCAGAGGGAGTTTAAATGTGGTGCCTAATTCTTTAAGTGGCAGAGATTTGCTGCATAAAATGCAACTGTCAGAAATACTGAGGCCACTATATGCTTTACTTTGTCTTAACCATGAGATGATATATTTAGAAGGATTCTTATGACTATCTCTCAAAAGATAACTTCACATTTTTAAGCTAGGACAAAAACATTCTTATAATTCTAAAGAACAGTATTCAACTTTTAATAAGCATTTAATACAAAATCATTTAAAACCAAACTGGCTTCAATTCAACTGTATTTTCTATCCAGCAATTCTATCTATTCTATTCATTATTACTACACTATCCATACTTTTTGGATATTATATTGACTGCTTAGTTGGCTACGGTTACTTAGCTTCAAGACCAAGTGAAATTTGAAGTTGGTACTTTTTACAAATTAGTATGATGCACTGTCATGTTTAGAGGCACGGGATGAAGAACGTCACATTTTTATCTTTAGGTGTAGAATGAGAAACTGAGATTGTTCTGTATGATCCCCAGCCCCTCTCAGTTGGTACGTCCCTGGTAGCCACTTGGGTCTTTCTCTTGGAAAGAAGAGCAGAGCTAGAAGACGTAAGATAGTGAATCGGAAGGGTTTCTGGTAATACTGAGCTATGGGAAATAGCTCAAATAGATGTGCTTCTTTTGAAGAAAAGTGTTAGTGCTTGGCATGTGCTATCCTGAGATATGTATTCTTTGTCTTTATAGCTTAGTTTCCTCTCTAAACACTTGTTATAGTTGCAGAAAAAAAAAAAAATCTGACCAGTTTCTCAACTTTGATTCCTAATAATTATAAGTATTACCATTTATGGCAACTTTGAGAGAGTCTTATTTATTAGAACTATATGCCGCTTTTAGGTTCTGAAGGAACATGCAGTACAGCTTATATTTATCTGTATAAATTAGTGATACTCGTTCTGTAATGACATACTTGCGGGATTATTATGAAGAGGAATCTATATATGCCTACTGAACAAGTTTTCCTAAGTGGGCAATTCCTTTTTCACAAGTAGTTGCCAACAGATGCTATGGGCATGTCCATGTTCATTCCAAGGTACTTTTATGCCTTTTAATCTGAAGCACTACACCACCCCAGTACATGTCTATAGTTACATGAAAACAACAACAACAACTGGAATTCACAAAGTATCACTTGATGTTCTGTGCTGGAATGTGCAGCAGTTAAAAATCAACCATCTGGATTTACCCTTAAAATATCTGTGAACTGAGTACCCAAACTTTTATTTGGATATCATAGTAGTACATTTTGTTTTTGTTCTTTTGTAATATTTTGTTTCTTTCCTCTGATCCAACAGCAAAGTTATAAAGATTTTGTTCTTAACTTTAAATGATACAAATTGAATAATATATGTTTTGGTATTTGGACTGGGAGGAAATAGAACAGAACTTTTCTTGGACTGGGAAATCAAAGGGCATGAATGTGATAATTATGGACAAGCAGCTGAGAAGCCTCTGTTTTTATATAATTGCAGACTTCCTGATTAAGCACTTTTGAAAGTATATACACAATTCCTGTCAATACACGAGTTGACTGCAGAAGTAGAAGACCCTAGACATCATCATACTTTTTTAGGCTGAGTACAGTTTTGACTTTAAAAATTATCCAGACAAATAAAACTGATTCTGAAATAATTTTTATCAGGTGTTTTGTTAACTTCATTGGAACTGATGGAATTCTTTTAGTACATTTATTTCTTCCACTTTGTTTCTTGAAAGAAGTCTTATTAGCAGAAATAAAATTTCATGATAGAAATAGATTGTGGCCAAAGTTAAAATTATTTCCTTTGGCTTCTGATTTACAGTGTTGACCCCTATTTGTTCTAGGACCCTTCAGGGCTTAAACAACAACTTAATATGTATTCTTACTTAAAGCACATTTATTTGTACAAAAGGATATTGAGTCAATGAAATCAGTCTTAAAATTCTTAGGAAACTGTTTTGTCATAAAGAGATAATAACTGAGTTTGCTGTACCAGCTTACCATTAGTTCATTTTAGGTATGGTGCTTGATAATCATGCTACTTAAGTCACACAATTACTCAGCTAGATACAGCAGGCCTGATTAATGAAACTAAATATTTTAAAATTTATCTCCGTGGCTGCAGTAACTTGTTAAAAGTACATCAGAAATGATAACACGAGATTGATGGCTGTTCTTAATGATCTTCAGAAGCAGCTGTGGAGAAGCTCTATTGGGGGCTGCAATAATGGAGAGATTTCCTGATGATTCTCCATCCAGCTGTTATTTGCTCTATGGTATAAAATATAAATTGAGCAATGGAAAAAATACAGAAAAATTCTGATTTTCCTACTGTTATGCTTATGTTAACATATAACTTATGTTAAGACATGAATATATACACCTTCATATACATCTCCTTCACCTCCTATAAGAAATAAAGGCACAGTACAAGTGTAGTAAATAAATAATAAATGGTTTTGACTTTAGGGAGGCTCATTTCAATTATTTCATATTTCCATTAAATAGAAGAGAAATATATTGAAGCCCATAATATTAAAATGGCCTGTGTACAGCATAGTACCGGTGCATTCCATGTAGAGATGGGAAATTTAGTGCATGCACTCCTTTGTATATGTGGCACTACCTCTTTCATTGAGAGACTAAGAAAAGCTTTTAAGCAGGAGAATGATTATGTACATGCTGGCATTGTTGCATTTGGGGAATGAACATTTGGCTTGAGTATGTTCCTGTTAAAAGGTACTTCAGGCGAAGGCAGTGACTGATGAGACAAAGAGAAGCAGGACAGGGAAACTGTTAAGCTAGCTAGTGTTTAACTGTATTACATACGGTTAACTGTATGTTATCTGTATTAATAAGCTGCATTTTGTCAGCATTATAAAATATACTGCCCATCAGTAGCAATTAGAAATTAGTAATATTTTTAAAATGTATTCTTCACTCAAGATAATTATACTATTTTTTCTTTAAAGCGCTTATATATTCTGAGATCTGTATCCTAAGAAATTTCATATAACATTAAATAAAAGACCTTTCAAAACATAGGACTTTAGTTTCATAATATCTGTTGGGGAATTAAACCAGAAGAGGTAATAATATCCAGAAAGAAATATTATCAACTGCTACAACAGTGTTAGATGTCAAATACTGTTCAGACATGAGTACAAACATTATGCTTACACATTCACAGTGTCAGTTTTCAGGGCAAGGTTTTTTAGAAGTGGTTTGCCATTGCCTGCTTCCTAGAGCTAAGAGAGAGTGACTGGCCCAAGGCAACCCAGGCGGGACTAGAAATCACAGTTTCCCAGTTTCTAGCCTGGTGCCTTAACCACTACACCACACTGATCAACTTTTACTTGTTAGGAAAAGAGAAACTTAGAATCAGAGCGATTGTATGTTTAGAGTTATATAAAGTCTTAGTTAGATCAAAGTGTTTGCCTTCTCAATAGATAGAGGTGAATGTACTATATTGTGGAATGCAATTTTCCTGAAAGTGCAAAATATATTTCAGCTTTAAAGTTACACAGTAGCCCAACTCTGTTCTAGCCACTGATGGTCTGTGTTCTAGCCTAAATGTGACCCTGTGTGCTTTACTGGTATTTCCTTACTTTATTTCAACTTTCAGATGTGCTTATTATTATTGTCATGTCCATCATGACACTCTAGAGAGTTGATTCTGGTTGATGTTGGAAGGAAATAGTAATAATGATCTTGTCTATGAAAAGGCTGGCAGATCAAGCTGTAATTTGAGGTTACACAGGATTTTTCTATTCCATTCTATGTTTGTGTTTCTGAATCTAAACATTTTGTTGAGGCTCCACTGTGTAAAAATAGCTTATTTGTCCTGTTGTATTTCCAGTTTGAATCTTTAAAACTTTTGTTAGGAAGTAGTTGCCATGAATTCTGCCTCTCCTAAATCAAAGGTATTATCAAGCTAGGTAAGGATGTTCCCATTTACAATGCATTGTGTAATATTCTGAGGTAATACTGAAGTAGTTACTTTAAGGAGAAGTTTTGTTAGAAAGGAAAATGATTCATACATATTAGCTCAGTTATCTCTAAACAGAGAGCCAGTCTGGTGTAGTGATTAAGACACCAGGCTAGAAACCGGGAGACTGTGAATTCTAGTCCCATCTTAGGAACAAAGCCAGCCAGGTGACCTTGGGCCAGTCACTCTCTCTCAGCCCTAGGAAGCAGGCAAGGG